TATAAATTCAGGCTCTTTAGTCAAACCGTACCGTTCTCGCTTCAAACCCTGCTTCAAACCATGATTTTAAATTATTTCGGTAGGTCGTTTGCTAATCTAAAGAGCAGAATAAATGTTGCTGAATTATTTAGAAATAATATGAAAAACAGCTAAATACTGTGTAACAAACATCATGATAAAAATGATAAATATTTACCCTTTATTTTCAAGATTTTTACAAATTGTTGCCAACAGAGGAGGCACCATTGGATGAGCCCGAACAACAAGAACCGGGACGATCAGAACTAGCGGTAAATGCATCTATACCGAAGAAAATCTCTGTCAGTTCAAACAACGGAACCAGTTGAATCAGAACAGCAGGAAGTGGTTACCTAGAAGTTGGTACTGATACGGATATTTTACCAACTGGTTCACTCACGGATCGTGCATTTTAAGTGTCATGTCAATGACATCCAATCTATATCGAGTGAAAAGCGGTCCTGCAGGACATTTCAATAATAAGTTCTTTCGAATTAAATTATCCTGCGCCTATTGCTGCGTCCCTACCGCTGCCACTGGGAGCACGATTCTGCAGCATGGATCTTGGTGTACACGAATGTAGAACCGGCACGCATGTTCAGGTCGAGGTTCAGGTAGGGTTGAATAATCATGCATCATAAAAAAATCAATGAACTCAATCTTTTTCAAATTCAGGTGAATATTTTTAACTACATGGAGGAGATGTCCGTGTGAAAAGAACCGAAATCACCAGAAACCGTTGTACCATAGAGGTAACTCTAAGACTAGTAGGTCCCGAAGAAATGTGCTCAACTTTTTGGCTCAGCTCTGGTACTATCTTCGGTCCCAAGCTAATCGATTCACCCCTCGAAACATAGGAAAATCGAATAACCCCTCATTTTATCTGTCAAACTTTCATAGCGAATCAAAACAAACATTGTGTAGTACTAGAATTTTGACTAGAATGGGGTGCGTTAATCGATTTGCTTGGGACCAATAGGCTAGTCAAGTAGTGAGCCAATTTAAAATCGTTAGTTTCGTATTGATTGTTGGTTGTACTATTATCAGGACCGATGCACATCACTACTTCGAGCCTGTAAACACCAACCGGATTGACAACAAGAGGAAGTTGAAGAACAGAAACTTCAGCTTGTTTATTTAGGCTGTGAACCATTTGCCGAGTTAAATTTAACTCGTAGTTAAAAGTGACATTTCGAAAGTTATTTCTTATGTTCGAAAATCCCCGTGCTGTTGATCGACCGGTTTTCGAGCCACGGTCGTCAAAATTTAACTTTTTGTCTGTCAGAAATAACCACGCTCGGATAGCAGGGTTAATCGATAACTTTCCATCTGTCAAATTTTAACCAAAAGTTAAAATAATCCACCAAATGGTTCAGAGCCTTAGGCTGTGTTCCATTTGGCGAATTTTCACTTAAACTTGACAGATGGAAAATTTCCAAATCAACCTGCTATTCCAGCAGACTTATATCTGACAGACAAGGAATCAATTTTGCCACACACCTTCTCGAAAATTGGCCGATCAACAACAGAGGGATTATCGAACATTATAATTTAGTTTCGAAGTGTCAAATTTAAGTGAAAATTCACCAAATGGACCACAGCCTTAGGCTCTGAACCATTTGGTGGATTATTTTAACTTTTGGTTAAAATTTGACAGATGAAAAGTTATCGATTAACCCTGCTATCCGAGCATGGTTATTTCTGACAGACAAGAAGTTAAATTTTGACAACCGTGGCTCGAAAACCGGCCGATCGACAGCACGGGGATTTTCGAACATAGAAAATAACTTTCGAAATGTCACTTTTAACCACGAGTTAAATTTAACTCGGCAAATGGTTCACAGCCTTAGTCAGCAGTTGCTAATGGAATTGGTAGTCATGCCGTCCCCGTTAGGAATCGCAATATGTTCTTCTATATCCATTGCAGAAACTCCTACTGGAGAGTTCACGACCTATTGTACTGTTTTGCTGTTATAATTGTTTTTAATTTATGTTAAATATATTAATCTCGAGAAAACTTGATAATTTAAAATAATAATATTGAAATGAAAATAGAACAAAAACAATGCACTCTTCCAAATAAATCGAATGTATAAATTGCAAGAATATTCCTTTTTTATACTATCCCGACCAACCATTTCGTTAATTTTCTTTAATTTTCTATACAACGTGCAAGATCGATTCATAAGAAAAATCGATAGCGATCGTAACAATTTCATGAATAGTTGTAAAGATGCTAAAAGTCTAATCGTGAATCGTTTATAAAGATCTTTCTCAAAATATTGCCACCAATCGTTACCAATGTTAAAATATCGATTGTGTTGCCAGATCAAAATATCGATTTCTATTGTAAAATCAAAATATCGATACACAACTGCTGATTTTATTTGTGATTTTTTATCTGCTTAATTCGATCCCATGCCATCTGCGGCGTACTGATTTCGTTGTTGGTTGCTAATCTTCGGGTCCACGGCTGCTGTTGATGAGCTTATCAACGACAGCAAACACACTCTAGTATGTGGTGTATTGAAATTTCTGTAAATTTTTTCATACATGAATTCAATATTTATTTGTCATAACCATGTAGGTGTAATAGAGGTAAAAAAGGTATCAATTTTCCTCATTGGGTTTCAAATGCCGAGAATCCCACCGCGCATGCTATCACGGGTTATTAAATATATAGACGTGAACCTTGAAGAACTACAATGGTGAACATTTGCTGCGTCGCGGCCATCGGTCTTCTCGTTCATTTACCGGCAGATTGCTTCTTCCGATGAAATGTCGAATATGTCGATAAATAATATAAACATTGCCATCTGTTGTGTGTGTATCGAACTCTCTTTAAACAGCGATGCAAATCGATAACAAGGAGATTATATATGTGCATTAGACTGATGCAAAATTTGAAATTTTCGCTCCACAGTGTTCAACTGGTTTCAAATCGGGTCCTGATTAGCCTCCGAAAGTTTAAACTCATTTGATAAGAAACTGACTTGGCACAAACCATTTGAAGTTTATATGGAAATTACTATGGGAAAACAAAACTTTTTGTTTATTGTCTTCTTGCCTTGTTACACATTGTACTGTTAACAAAAGCTATTGCTATTCTTATGGAAATTTTTATCAGCTACAACTTTGCAGAAAATCATTTTTTAGCCGAACGTCAAATTAAATAGTTATTAATTGTTTAAGAGATTGATAATCTTATGGCAAGATTAAGCAACTGTATTGTGGGCAACACTGTATTCTGCAGTGTGACATAGTAGCCATGTTTTTTGTTCTCTATTCTACGCGCTATAAACACCAATGTTGCCTGCTGAACAGTTGATTGAGCATAAGCATAAGACATCAGTGACTTGAATCATTAATAATGTTTGTTCCTTATATTTGATCGAAAAGTGGTCTTGAACAAAGTTGTAGCTGAGAAAATTTTCAACAAGCTCAGCTATCATTTTCTAAAGTAGAGTGAACTGATGAATTTTGAGATAGATATGAAACGAAATTATGGTTTCTCCGTAGTAATTCCCATATAAACTTCAAACGGCTTGTGCCAAGTCAGTTTAGGGCCCATGCATTAATTATGTCACGCTAAATCGACACGCAGAAAAAAACACTGAGGCGTAAACCAACAAAATATTTTGTTATTATTCAATGCAAAATTTCTATTTGTTTCAGTTCATAAACAAGTTTCAAATTAATACAGAAGCCCATTTAAATCAAACCAATAAAATTGTTTAAACCTGTTTTTGATTGTTGTGTGTGTAGTACACGTTTCAAACTGTCAGTCTACATCGTTGTTAGCCAAAAAGGTTCTCCGTATGGAAAGTCTGCCTTCGATCGTTAATCTTAACAAGTAAGTTTTAAATCCTGATGAATGTGGGCGTCTTAGTGGAATACCTGTATAATGAGAGAGAGAACCCGCATAAACGCGAACCATAAATTGACCTTACCTAAAATGGTTAAAAATTGTTTATAATCCCTGCTAAACTTTAACTGAAATGGTTATGGAACTTTACATGAACGTTTAATGATAAAGTTTCAACCTTATGTATTATGGTTTTTTGGAAGCGGACCTTACAAATAATGGGTTGTTAAGAACCATTACCATTCCAAATTCTTGTTTTCTCCATACATTTTCGGAAAGAGAACTATATTAGAACCTTTTAACTTATGGTTTGAGAACTTTAATGGTAATGGTTATGGTAGTCAGTAAGGTCCACGAATGGTTTTGTAACATCGATCAACTTTATGTGGAATATATCGCGAATTGGTTGCCTGTAATTTACTGATTACCAATTTACGATATATTCCACGTAAAGTTGAGCGATAATACAAAACCATTAATCGACCTTACTGACTACCATAACCATTACCATTAATGTTCTCAAATCATAAGTAAAAACGTTCTTATATAGTTCTCTTTCTGAAAATGTATGGAGAAAACAAGAATTTGGAATGGTAATGGTTCTTAACAACCCATTATTTGTAAGGTCCAGTTCCAAAAAACCATAATACATAAGGTTGAAACTTTATCATTAAACGTTCATGTAATGTTCCATAACCATTTCAGTTAAAGTTTAGCAGGGATTATAAATTTTTTTTAACCATTTTAGGTAAGGTCCATTTATGGTTCGCGTTTATGCGGGAAGGATTAGTATTTTCTATTTAATTCCACTACTTTATATGCTTATCCTTGACAGATACGCGTATTTCGTCTACAATGTGCAGACTTCTTCAGTGTCTTGTACTAATACTCGACTGGAGTCGAGTTGCGATTTAGCGTAACTTTTAATCTTTTTAGATGTGAAAATCTTTTGAGTGTATACGGTTATAACCGAAATTCGAAAAGTAGTTCTGGCCGAGGTTCTGGCAACGTTGGTCGTGAGTTCTCATCTGTTTTGACGTTGTACCATGCAAGTACGACACTTTTGCTTGCATTAGTCAGCGAGCACTCACTCATTCCGTCCGTCAACCAGCCACCCAGTAACCAAATTCAGTCTGGCGAGAAAAGTGGAAGGGTTCGGAATTTTGTGTCGCAAACGATCGGAGCAAATCAAAGCAAAACGAAATCATCACCTTCAGACATTCATTCATTCTTTTGTGCGGAAATTACGCATCGTGTAACCAGCCTTCGGTAAGTAAAGTGATGCTGGGAAATGTAGAAAAACTAGAACGACGCCACCAGACAGGGGAAAACCTCTGGCGCACTGTTTATTTACACACCCCCTGCAAAATAAAAAAAATCAAAATCAAAGTGTCTTTGTGTTGTTGTGCTCAATCTCCCCGTATACATGTTACGATGTAGGTATGTACCATATTAGCGCAAAATGATATATTTTTGCCACATTAGCAAAATATGTTTGAGAGCGTGGATTTGTCGTTGTCCGCTGGGGCGACATAAATATTTTGATAAGGCGACCATCTACAAGGTTGAGGTTGGTTTTCTATGTCGCAAATTTTACATTGAGAATCATTACGGTACATCTGGGTCTGGGTGGCTTTCACCATCATCGCGCCACTCTCTTTCCAGACGTCCAGTGCATTAGTGTGAATTAATCTAACTCGGCTGGGTGACATAATCGCTTCCAGATAATCGGCGATCGCTACAGAGAGTCAAGGAGGTAGTCATTCTAGTAGTTATTGCCTAGTTTTGAGACTGTTATCAAAATTGCACACTGTGTGGGTGGATGGTTCTGTGTACATCGTAAAAACGCTCCTATCAGACAGTTAATAACTCTTTCGACACGCTACTACATAGCATATTGCTGCATGTGATTGTGTGCAGTTTCTGTTTGTTGCTGTTCAGCTGCTCGGGCAGCGAATGCTGGAAAACCACGTATGTCTTTACACTACGGACTATTAGTTTGTCACAGGTATCGCTCTGTATATATCTGGAAGACTGAAAAGAGAGTTTAATTGCACAGAAAACGATCGTCCAACCGAGAAGAATACGCAGAACGAAAATTTGTGTTTGATAGTCGTCTATTTAGTGTGGATTTTAGGGGTAAAGTCATTACAATAGTGACCAAGTGATCTAATTAATCCATTTAATTTAAAAATAAAATAAATTGAAAAGGAATGTAAACTTACGCTCAGACACAGAGTAAATACACCCGTTTACAATAATTGTATACAGTAGGATCAAGGTAGAATGCATATGACATTTACAGAACATTAATTAGGTTCTTTAAGGGTATGGAGGTAAATTCATATTCGTAATATGCATTAAAAATGCAGCCGATATTAAACATTTCATCAAGTTTGGTGCACTGGAACTATTTTAAATAAGTGCGATTACATTAGCAAAAATCACTGTCTTAGCGCTCCTAAGATGAAAACTCAGATATTAGCTCAGAAAATGAAGCTCTCATGTTGTATTAAACATATATTTTTCAAAATTAATTGTAATGCGTTCAAGCATATGACTGATAAATTAATATATTCGGATATTTACCATACAAATCAAACTTAACATTTGTGAAGATCATATATTCTTACAGAATATTTTTTGTTTTATAATATCGCTTCGAAAACGATGCAACTGTGCCGAAAAAGTCGTGTCAAATGTTAAATTCTCGCCATAGTCCTGAAATTGAACATTAGAGTTGAATAATCGGATCGCAAGACCCGATGATCCTGTTGAAACCGACCACCAAATAGTGATTTGTATTGTTCCATCAACAGGTGTTCCTGTCTAGTTGTCTCGCTAACCCTTCCAAGCTAAATAAGCCAAAATGAGCGACGAATTCGATGGATGTGAGTGCATTTGGAGCCATGAGATGGCCATGCGTCGGTTATTATCGATTGTAAGTACCAATTTAAAAAATCATTGCATAAACCACCACTTCCAGCCTTAACTCCAAAAAATCTTCCCACTTTCAGCTGCGTAATGGCCAGTCCTACTGTACGGACAACGAGTGCATTGATTGTAAGTCCCTAGAATCCTAAATGGTAAATGACAAATTGCTTAACCCTTCTCATCTTTCCTAAACTAGTGCCCAATGCACCGAACCAGGGCGTCAGTGGAAACTTCTTCATGCTGATGCTGTTCATGATTTTTGCTGTGATATTGTACGTGATGCGGCCAGCATCGCTCCGCCGGCGGAACGACCTGAACAAAGCTCTGCCGCCATCGAATGGGGTAAGTCGGCAAAATTGCACCTACCTGTTCACTAGAATTTAACGCAAAATTACGATTCGACAGGGCCCGAACAACGATGGTGCACCACCGGCAGTCAACTGATAGAATCGTCAACCAATTACCGGAATTTTCCGTTATTTTCTTTCCTAACGCAAATTTCTAACTAGGCAGTCTCGTTAACATTCGGACATTCGGTCCGCAATTTTCATTTATCGGAAAGCTAAATCTTGAAACGTAACAAAAATCGGTTTTTCCGAATTATTGATTGTATTAGGTAAAACGAGGATCGTAGGCATAAAATTAAAACAAAACTAATGGAAATTGATATCTAATTGTGGAATATTTGTGTTTTGGTAAGTCGATAGGTGGCTTTCGTTCTTTGCTATTTTTGGTCTTCGCGAGTACCCCGAGTGGGTTATTAATTATGCCTTTATTCCAATTATTTACAATTGAGCATTCTTTAGCGATTGGTGCACTTACGGATTTTTTTATTTTTTTTTTGTTAATATTTAAAGAAAATCAAAAATTGTTTATTTAAAGTTAGTTTTCTTCTAGTTGCTGTGAAACAACTACTAAAAAATCGTTTATATTTCACAAAATATACAAACTTACATAATCTCTGCAAACAGCAACCAACTGCACACTGGCACACAAACAACAGGTAAATAATGGTCGATAGAATCAAACGTATTATATTAGTAACACTATGATCCGCTGTTTCGTTTTCTCGAGGACACGATTCTGGGCCAGCAAGAGCGCCTTTGCGTCAGAAAGGGAACTAATGTATTTATTCTAATGACAAAAAAACCATCACAAGGGTCACTTCCGAAGTTTAATAAAAGGTTACCCTTTCTGACGCTAGGTGGCGTGTTGAGCTGCAGCATATTCGCGTCCGCCGCGTGATATAATATATTTGATAGTATCTACAGAAATATATTTCCCTATCCTATTCCAAGGGAGAAAACTAGCCGTAAGATATTATTTATCTGTTATATTTTCTTATTTTACACTTTACAGTAATCATATAAAACATACACACACAGACAAACAATTATGATGGGTTCAGATGTTCTGACACAAAAGACATTTTGGGACGAATCTATTTCTTTTAACCTTACCGTTTAGGATTCAATTGATGTGAGACTTGTTTCGGTCTTTTTCAGTTTAGCATTCGGATGTTTTTTTTTTAGTGAAGAATCTACAATATGTGAGAAAGATGATGCAAATATAACAAAATCACACAAAGGTGCAGTTTGTTTTCATTTTTAATTGTGAAGTTCTTTGTATTACAATGAATCATTCCGAACTGGGTAATACGGACCAGACCTGTTCGCCGGTCCATTCATCGGCGGCGGCGGTGTGAAAACTACCGAACGCCGTTGACTTTGATCGGCGGCGTGCATCATTAAGGCTCCCCCACAATGGCGCTATTTATCCGCGGCGTAAAATTCGTCGCATTTTAGTAGCATGGCGGCTTAGGGGAGTGCAGGTTTTTCTTGCATTCGCTGTCTGCAGCGTTTTTGCCGCCGAAGAAGTGCGGTATCTGCTCTGATGTTTTCATGATTCGCATTGCTGAAAAATTGTGGTCCTTTCTGTTTTTGTTTTTGATTATAATTGTAAGTGTTCTGTCTACTGCTTGATTTAGTTTAAGACCACTTTCAATATAAAAGAAGAACACATCAGTTGCAGTTTGTATCTGAAGATAAACTGATCTTTATTCATTTGTTTGTGAGGAAGGTCTCCGAAGAGAGCAAGAGAGTGTTCTGTTCATTATAATGTGTTAGTGTTATACAGAGCGAACCGGTACACTACAGTCCTCCATCCTTCGACAAGATTCTTTACAGAATCTAATTTGTTACTATTTCATGCATACAAAAATTCTTACAACCGTAAAATTCAATTAACAATCGATTAATTCGACAGCACGTAATGCCTGAATACATTTTCTTCTTTTCACTAAATTCTTCGAAACAGCATGCCCAGAACCGTCTTGTTGATTTCGTTCCCTTATGCGCTCGGACCTTCTAATGCCTGTATTTTTTTTTTTTTTTTCCTTTGGTTTGTTTTTTCCGTCGATCTTGTTTTCCGTGCTGAGCACCAATGCTACCGACGTGCCAGGAAGGCAGCTCCCACACCTGGACCCTACCTATCGACCCATCAACTCATGAACCGGGGACCAACGGCTTTACTTCCCATCCGAAGGAAGGCGTGATCAGAGATGTTATGCCTCAGAACATCCCGGCGGCGCCGACTGGGATTGAACCCAGGCCTGCTGGGGTGAGAGGTAATCACGCTTACCACTACACCACCGGCGCCGTTTCAATGCCTGTAATTGAACATTCAGAATTATGGTTAAACGTTCCATTTGCAGAACGGTTAGAAAGGGTTTCTTCAGGAAATCCATAAAAATCAGGTTCATCGTCATCTTCCCTACGTCGTTTATTGCTAAGTTTTACCATTGAGTTTCTAGTTGACGTTTTGATTTCATTCAAACGCAACTGATCTCGATGTGCTGATTTGATAATTCCGTTAATATAAATTTGAAAAACGTTAATCGATATTCTTTTTACAAACGTAGCATCCAACCAGCGTTCAGCATCTTTTGGGCGATGATTCCGATACCATAACTTGTCTCCTGGTTTCAAGTTATTGAACTTGTCGATTTGGGGAACCACCCGATCTAGTACAGGATTCGAATTTTCAATTGTATCCAGATGACGGGGAACTAAGTTCTGTTTATAACTGTTCTTAGGATTAATTAGATCCAAAAGAATCTTCGGTTTATAAGAAAACACATGTTCCGAAGGAAACGTACTAGTTTTGGTGAGACAACTGTTACTGTAATTTATAAGGAAATAACACATTTGTTCTTCCACATCTGTAAACTTCATTCGAGAGTCTAACAGAAACTTTTTGAAAACTTCCTTTACTGTTCGTACAGTTCTCTCCGCCTGCCCGTTGCTTGCAGGGTGATATGGTGGACTTTTGAGAACAACTATTCCTTGTTTTTGCATAAAATTAACAAATTCAGACGCATTAAAAGGTGGTCCTCCATCGGTCACCAGAACATCATGTAAACCGAATCTTGCAAAGATATTTAAAAACTTTTTAATAACTTTGTTTGTATCCGTACCGTACCTCATATACTCTAGTTCTACCCACTTTGAGAAGCTGTCAACGACTACCAAGAAAATCTTTTCCCCAAAATAGAAAAAGTCAGCATGCACTCTGCTGAACGGTCGACACGTCGGCGTCCACGAAGACTCCACTTTTTTCTTCGGTGTGACTAGTGTCTGACTACAAGCATTACAGCTTTTAACATAATGTTCAATGTCCGCATTTATGCCGAACCAGAACACAGTTCTGCGAGCGAGTTGCTTGATTTTCACAATACCATCGTGATTAGAGTGTAATAATTTTAGGGTTTTTTGTTGTAGTGACTTCGGCACAACTACTCTGTTTTTGAATAGCAGGCAACCAGAGTATATTTCAAGGTCATGTGATTGGGCTTTAACATCTTTTAGAGTTCTATCAACTCTATCTGGCCAACCTTTACGGAGATAATCTATAATCTGCTATAGTAGGCCATCTTTTTCAGTTTCTTCTGCTATGAGATGAAAATCCAAAGGAAGTTCTGTCGTAAAATTTAAACTATTTATGCATTCCCTGTCCAGGTTTCCAGGTACAGCACACGGTAAAGGAAAACGGGAGCAAAAATCTGCATTCCCCATTCTCCGAGAAGGTCGATATCTAATTTCAAAACTGTATATGGATAACTCCATTATGAACCTTTGTAAGCGTGTGACGAAAATGGAATGTTTACCTTCTTTTCCAAACACTCCTAGCAAGGGTTTATGATCAGTATAAATTACGAAATGTTGACCATATAAATATTTGTGGAATTTCTTCACACAACTTACAACCGCAAGTGCCTCCAAATGAAGTATTGGGTATTTCCTTTGCGCATCATTTAAAGTGAAAGAGGTAAAGTATATTGGTTTCTCTTGACTCTCAACATCATGTGCCAATACGCCACCTAACCCATAATTACACGCGTCTGTAACTACTATTAGTGGCTTTTTAGGATCAAAATATTCCAAAACACTAGGTGTCTGCAAAAATTTCTTACATTTGTCAAACCTTTCATTACATTCGACAGTCCAAATATACTTGGTGTCCTTTTTTAAAAGACTGTAAAAACAGCTCAGTTTTGTTGACAGGTTAGGTATAAACTTCCCATAAAAATTTATGAGTCCTAGGAAAGCTTTCAGTTCCGTTGGGTTTTTAGGTGGATTTGCGTTTGCAATTGTGTCAACTTTGTCTGGATTTGGCAACAAACCCTCACTGGTAATAACATGACCAAGAAAAGAAAGTTTTTCAACAAAAAACTTGCACTTACTAAGCTTTACTTTAATGTTTGCATCATTCAATCGTTCTAACACCTGATACAGCTTATTTTTACAATCCACCCAATTCTTGCCTGAAATCAAGACATCATCCAGATAGCACGAAACTCCTTCAACACCTTGAAGCACCTGATCCATGACCTGTTGGAATATGGCAGCAGATGAAGCTGCTCCTTGAGGAAGACGATTATACGTATAGAGACCTTTTATGGTATTAATTGTCATGAATCGTTTTGAGCTATCTGAAAGCTGCAATTGGGTATAAGCCCCAGCCAGATCTAGCGAACAGAAAACCTTACTTCCAGCTAATGTCGCAAAAATGTCCTGTGCTATAGCTAGTGGATATGTATTCGGAACAATCAATTTATTTATTGATACCTTACAATCCACTACAAGACGTATGTCGTTATCTTTTTTTACTATAGCTATAACAGGTGATGCCCATTCACTTGCTTTAATTGGCGTGATTATTCCACTATTCTCAAGTGAATTCAAATGATTGATGACCTTCTCTTTCATGCGCAATGGTACAGTGTAAGCTTTTTTAAAAACAGGGCGATCTTCTTTAAGAATAAGATCCGCCTCGAAACCAGAAATCGGATTTGAAAAATCTTTACTAAAAACCTTCTCAAACTTTTGTTTGATATCATCAAGTATCACTTCCTTCTCGTCATTGGATTTCACATTATTCACACAAGCAGAATCTAAGAATTGAGCCCTCCATCCTTGATAAAAAGCATCAAGCCAATCTCGGCCGATTAATGGTATAAAACTGTTACTTCCTTCTAACACTACTAGCATTACATTGCGCGTCACATTATTCAAAGAAACACACACGTTTATGTAACCTAATATGTTGAGTCTAGCTCCATTCACAACGGAAAGTTTCCGTTTACATGGCAACAGTGGTAGATCATTGAAATTTGTTAAATATTTTTGCTCACTCAAAACCGAAACAGCTGATCCGCTGTCTATTTCCATTCGAAAACCCTTTCCGTTAATAACAGTCATTACAAACACCGGTTCATTTACCTGTAATCCTGATGTAATAGACATACAGACCAGATCTTCATCCGAGTCTTTCGCTACCGAACG